CCTTAACAACAAAAGCATAACACTAACAACTAACAACTAATCAATCATTCATAACTAATAGCCACAAGTCAACAGTAACCTTCACAACTAACATCCACACGTCAACAGTAATCTTCACAACTAATAGCTACACATCAACAATAACATTCACAACATACTCATAACTTTAATAACTAACACTTAATCTTAACAACTAATAGGCCACATGTTAACAATAACCTTAACAACAGTAATCTTCACAACAGATTCATAACCTTAACAACTAATGTAGAACCTTAATAATTAATGAATGTCCTTGACAACTACAAGCTAACCTTCACAACTTAATTGTAACCTTCACAATTAACACAATATGTAACATCATAAACAACTAAATATGCGGTAAAACTTACTTCTTTTCTGTTGTCATACGTGTCTCTTCCGTTTTTCTCCTATCTGTTCCTCTCTTTAGATCCAGGAGTACTCTAGAGGCGTCGTCGATGCCGGTGTTGCCCTCTAGATCTATGTGTTGAACTGGGTTTTTGGGTTGAACTAGACTTGTGGGAGGAGGATGACTAGCTGCGATGTCCTCTAGAACATCAGCAATTGATGTGCCACTTTTAGTCCACACTGCTACGCTCGAAGGTCTTTTTACGATGACGTATCATGACTCGTCGTCATCTTCACTAAAATCGACAGCGACGACTGCTTTGGGAGTTGACTTGTTGGCTATTTTTTCAATCAGGATGTAGGATTCTGCTTTGGGGTGGGTTGATTTAAGGTTAGAGTTTTGAAATGGGGATAGTCGGTTTGCTTGGACAGAAAAGAGTGTTAGGACGCATATGGTGAGCCTAATTCTCTAATCTTGTTTTGATGATTTAACAAGCAATTTATAACATGTTTTCTAGTGTTTGGATTTGATTGATTAACCCATGTTGAATGATTCAAGAGCTATATTGTAAATGAAGCATATACAAGTCAAGTCAAGATCCTCGATCGAGCTTCATATGCAATCTATATGGTATATTATTAGTGTAGGGTATGTATTTTGTGTATCAATACTTTTAAGCTCAATTATATACACATACACATTTCTTACTTTTTTCACAATTTGGGTATTTTTAAATAATCTTTGTATACATCTTTTATATAGTCCATAAATCAGTTCAAAATGTTTTTACAACTTTGTTTAAAACATATGTCAAAATCAAGTGTTCATACCAATACATATTTTTGAGTTTTTCCAAAACAATAAGTGTTCACAAATGGGAAATGCAATTTGAAATTTTTGTTATAACATATTTATTTTCATGTTTACAAATATTTCCCAAGTTTTATAATTTTTGGAATTTATTTGATATTTTTAAAGACATTTCAAATTCTGGTTTTCAAACTGTTTTGTCATATATCAGTTTTCGGTCGACCGCACAAGTCATGCCAGTCGATCGACTAGAGCAAAATTTTACAGTTTTGTTTCTCAGGGCATTTCGGTCGACCGAACTTGACCTTCCGGTCGACTGACCAGAACTCAAATTTTTAGCTGTTTTTCTCAGGGTGTTTCAGTAGACCGACAACTTGTGTTTGGTCGACCGACCATTGTCATCCAGTCGACCGAACTAGTAGCCATTGGCATAGCGGCTAGTTTCCTAGATTTTTTATTTTTTTATTGTTTTTGTTGTTTTGTGATGGTTTCTTGGGATGGTTTCTTCTACCCTATATATACCCCATTACATTTAACACTTCTAACTACCTAGAAAGTTTTAATCAAGTTTTACAAGGGTTTAAAAATTGTTTAAGTGTTGTTTTACAAGTTTTTGTGAAGAAACTTTCATAAGAGAAAGAGGAGATTGATTCTTTCGGTTTGAGCTTCATTTTCATCCATCTCTCTTTCATAAATTTCAGAGAAGATTCTTCTAAACTCAATCTCTAGCCTTATACAATTAATTGTTGTTTATTCATTTTATTAAGCTGGATTTTACATTGAGTTTAGTTTTCATTATCGTTTTTATTATTTCACACACACCCATATTTGAGCTTGAGTATTTTTGCATATAATACATTTGGGTTGTGAGTGTGTTTTAGTGAGCTTTATTTTGTTCTCAAATTGTATTGGAGAACAAATCTTTTTATTTGTACTTATTGTTGAGAGTTTACCTTGTAATACACAAGTACACCGAGAGGAGTGTGTGGTGAGAGACGTGGTCGATTCCAAGAGGAGTGACGTCGGTAGTAAAGCCTAGAAAGAGGTTGTGAATCCGAGCACTTGAGGAAGACGACACGGACTAGACCAACACTTAGAGGGTGTGTTGTGTGATTGCATGTAAGTATTATAAACGTTTGTTGGTGAGCGTTGAAAACCGATTGTATAGTATCTTTTGAGATAGTGAATTCTCTCTGGGAGTGGGGAGCGGAGACGTAGGTCGGAAGGACCGAACTCCGTGATCATATTGCTTGTTTAATTGTCACATTGCGCACTACCTTATTTGTTTAGTAATTCATGTTTATATCGCCCTTGTTCATTTTCATATACTTGCTCATATCTCCTTGAATATCATACTTGCAAGAGTTCATAATTAATATGATTTTAATTTGACATTAATATCGGATTAGATTAGCATATACCCTATTCACCCCCTCTAGGGTAATTTCAAAGAGATGGGCTGACACGACCGACGATGAGTAGTTTTGAGAAGTGAGAGACAGTTAAATCAAAGAGCATTTTAGAATCTTTTTAAACATCTGGTAACGTGGGAAGGAATATAAGAAATTCTTTTGGGGGCTTTGGGATCGTTGAAAAAGTCTTGAAAGGCGGAACAATTGTTAGGGTTCTGGGGGCTAGAAGCAATTTTGCCTTATTTTTTCTATTTTACTCTTTATTTAAAATGATATATATATATATATGTTAAACATCTGGTAACGTGGGAAGGAATATAAGAAATTCTTTTGGGGGCTTTGGGATCGTTGAAAAAGTCTTGAAAGGCGGAACAATTGTTAGGGTTCTGGGGGCTAGAAGCAATTTTGCCTTATTTTTTCTATTTTACTCTTTATTTAAAATGATATATATATATATATGAGAAAAATGGGTATACTTGGTACCAAGCACAAATTTTATGC